ACAATTTTTCTAGTTTTTGAGTATTTTAACTACACTCAACCTTTTGTAAATGCTTTTGACATTATCTCAAAGGTGTGTTGTTGCAAAAGAGCATGATTGTGTTTGATTAATATAATTCTATTGTGTATATTAGCTATATGTTGCAACTAATGGAGGTGAACTACTCCATGAAAACAAAACTTTCAAAAAGATTTATGCGTATTTGCATAGTTTTTAAACATTGTTAAAAGGTGATTATATTGCAGTCTTTTCATTATTAAAGTGGAAGAATTTTGCTAGTGTAATGCATGTGATCATGGGATGAAATTTGGATATATTGTTATTGTGGATTCTTGGAACTTTCAGGAATAAATAAGGATAAAATAGCCACTAAGGGTTCTTTCATCCTTTTCCAGTTGGTTTAAGGGGAGAAAGATAGTGTGGTATCGGAGCAAATGGCACGGGTTCAAATCCTATTAATTAGTGGTTACTTAAAAATATAATATACCCTTGAGCAACATATATTCCTACTCCTAAATTTGAAATCGTACATATTGGGCATCCATGCGTACATCCTTCCTCTTAGTAGAGTATCCACGAACGAAGGTATCCACTGTGGGAGTGCAGTATGAGTGGATGACTAGTTGCCTTACATGGAATAGCTAGTTTACACAATGAAAAGATTGGTAAATTTAATATGGAAATAGAAGTGTTGCTAATTCAATATGGAAATAGCATGATCTAACATTGCTAATAGAGTTGAGTTTACTTTTACGATTGCTATAAGTTGATAATATTAGGACCTGGGATTAATATTTGATGACCATTCTTGCACTACTTGGAGCAAAGTTTGTTAAACACTTCTGCCACATATAAATGAGATAATAGTAATGTTATGTGGAGTATAAAGTTGTCACGAATGTGACTTTGGGTATCGAAAGTTACTTGTCGGCTAGTCCTTACGGACACAATTTCCTTACTGCCACGATAGCAGGAGGTCAATATTGTTGGACCCGTTATCAGTTCCCACTTGGGCTAGTTGAGTATGATCAGCAAAAAACACATAGGGGTTCCTACTTTATATTTATCCAATCTAAGTGCATGGTTATTGACCAATTTTGGCCTAGTTTGAGAAACTTGTGTCATTGGCTTGTACTTGCTAGTATTAAGAACCTGCACAATATTGAGCTTGGTCCCTCAATATTGCTAGATGATAGCTTATTGTGTCTGCCAAACACCCTTGCTATCATACCTTTTGTGTTAGTCTCATTTTGGTCTCAAATGCTATTTATAGAAAGTGTTTAAATTTATTTATTTGGCATATCTACGGAATGTAGAGATTCTCATGAACACAATGATGTTCGTCTCGTGTCCAAATTTGCAATCTAAGAACATTCCATATTTAGTAAGTTTCAAGCTTGTTCTAGAGACTAACTTTTGGTACTAAGGGAGGCTTGGGGTGAAAGCCCAAAGCATGTGTTCCTCAAAGGGGGGGGAGGGAGGCTATGGGGAGTTTTAAATGTATAGTAGGGATAGTGGGTAGGTCGTACATAGCCGATCAACCTGAGGCATAGTTTAACTCCTACTTACATGCTTGTCTTTGTTTTGCATTTGGCTTAGGTCTAAGCCCAAGTTCCACACCATATTAGCTAGTGAAATACCCATGTCTTTATGTTAGGCCACCGGTATTCCAAAATAGCACTAAATTCCGTTTGGCTCCGTTTTGCATGCTGATCCTGTCATTAGGATGTTGGTTGCTCTATGACTGTTTCAAGTCATTCTAGGCTCCTATCCTTTCACTCCTTTGGCTATATGCTTGGGAGTTGCTTTGTGGTCTAGTTCCGTCACTTAGCTCCATGCTTGGTAGTTTGGGATTTGTTCCTTCGTTTAGTGGCCCAAGGCCTTGAACCTCGGGTTCCACACCACTGTCCTTTGGACACGTGGCATGTGACACATGGCATATGACACATGGCACATGGAGGGTTTAGATTCTGCTTCATAGTGTTATCCTATGGTAAATCACCATAGGATAGGAGGTAAAAACCAAGTGCGCTACAAAAGTGGATGATTGGTATTTGTTTATTTTCCCAATTTTATAGTGTATAATTTACCTAATGGGCTCTTTGCTTAGTAGAAAGGATTGTATCAAGTGTTGTGGCAAGTTAGATTCCAAATTTATGATCATCACCAATTTATGTCATCATTGTGGTGAACTTGGATAACTAAGGATATATCATATTTTCACAAGTGTTTATCATCCTCAAATGAATGATTTGGTGAAATAGCTGATTGGACCTTTAAAAGGATGATCACAATGTATAAGAATTTTTAATATTGAGATTAGGATTGTTATTTTTCATGTCTTCAATATGTGTATATCATAGGGGTATAGGGTGTTTTACCATATAAAGTATTATATATGGTCATGATCTAACATTACTAATAAAGTTGAGTTTACTTTTACAATTGCTCTGAGTTGCTAGGACCTGGGATTAATATTTGATTACCATTCTTGCACTACTGTAAACTTTTGAATTTGGACTTTCCGGGAGGTCACCACCCAACTCAGTATTATTCAAACCCAAGGACACTTAACCCCAAATATCCCAAGACCCTTAATTGATTGGAAAAGGGGGTGCACTCTTTCTCATGGGCCTTTTCTTTTTATATTTAAACCCCTATGGATCATCTCTCAAGTCGTTCTTTTTGGTTACTTATAACTACTTGAAGCAAAGTTTGTTAAACATTTCTACTGCATATAAATGAGATAATAGCAATGTTATAATTCTCATTATTATCCATATCTAGAGTATAAAGTGGATGATTGGTATTTGTTTATTTTTCCAAATTTATAGTATATAATTTACCTAAAGGGCTCTTTGCTTAGTAGAAAGGATTGTATCAAGTGTTGTGGCAAGTTAGATTCCAAATTTATGATCATCACCAATTTATGTCATCATTGTGGTGAACTTGGATATTATAAAACTGATTATTCACAATTAAAAAATAAGTAACAAAGAAAAAAGAATAGTTAATCTTTTATTAGCATTAAGTTGAATATTAAAAAGTTGCAAAATTTGCAAAGTAAAGATGACAAAAAAGACTATTCTGATTAAAGGAAGAGACTTTTAATCACTATTTGATAACTCAACTATATGTAGAATAATTAAAGGAACCTCAAGAGAAGGCATAACATAGTTTATGCAAGGTTAAATATCTTTATCTTTGTTATTTAGTGCTGGGTCATAACAGTGTATTATTTGAAGTTGTTGAAGTTGGGAAGCTAGACAACTTGCATCCCTCATAAAGCATTGTTTGTAATACATAGAAATACTATTCTTCTTTATTCAGAATTCAAGATTGCTTTTTTAGTGGGATATGGCTGAAATCAAATATCTCCTTGAGACCGAAAATAAGTTTCTCTGCATCTTGATCTCCATCTGATGACGATTCTTCCACCATATAAACAACAGCATCATCCCTAATATTGTCCTCGAACTCCACATGCTCTCCATCACTAAAAACAGCTTCTCCTCCTTCCTCTGAACCACCTGAGCTTGACGATGAACTCAGAATGGACTCATAAGATGTTGTATCTAAAAAAGAACAAATAAAAAGTTTTGTGTCTGCTAAATTCAATGTCATACAACAGTTTCAAAAAGCAAATTGGTGGCAGAAGTATGTGTGCTTGGTAACAAGATGCAGCTCAACAGCAAACATGACCAAAATTTACTTGCATTTTCCTGCATGACGTAAAGCATAAGCTTTAAGGAGAATGATAGAGAGCACTTACCTTGTGAATTCAATGCTCTTCAAGTTTTGTCATGTCAGGAAGTTTGCATGTTAAGAATGGCACATCTAGGGTAAGCATCTAAACATTCACCAACAAAGAAAGCACATAAAGACTGTACTTACTATAGCTACCATCTCGTTTCTTTGTTTTCTTCTGGAAAGTTTACTGAGGTCAGATGGTATCCAGTAGCTGGTTTGATGAGCACTCTCAAGCTGGAAGCATTAGAAACCAGCTCCAGGGACTTGTTCCAGACTCAAGTCTAGATATTGAGAGATGAGAATGTGTAAACATCTTCTGCGATGCAGCCTGTGAGCTGGTTCCAGCGTGCCTGAGTTTCAAGAGCCAGGGCGCTGCCGAGAAATGTAAACGAACGCATTAAAGTGAAATAGATTTAGTAAGGGTTAGGGCATTAAAGGCATCTTGCAAAGGGCAAGCTATGGCGCGAACAGAGCAGGAGCGCAGTGGATGCGTCACAGGTTTGTGGTCTCTCTTTCGACCAAAAAAGGCGCACAAGGGCGACAACAAGGTCCACCCGGAAGCCATGGACGCGGCGGCCTCGAAGCTGAAGGTCCAAGATCGTGTCTGTGAGGCCGTCTCGGGAGAAGCCATGGACGCCGCCGCCTTGAAGTTGAAGGAACTCAGGCACGAGGTGAAAATCGTCTTAGAAGCGATACGACAGGAGCGAGGGCACAAGGAGCTGATCAAGCCGATCAAGCCGGAACAAGAGAAGGAGGACGAAGAGGAGAATCAAGAGAAGAAAGCGGAGCAGCTGAAGGAAGAGAAGAAAGCCGAGCAGGTGAACGAGGAGGAGAAAGAAGCCGATCAGATGAAGCCGATGAAGCTGGAAGAAGAGGAGGAAAAGGAAGCCGAGAAGCAGCTGAAGGAGGAGGAGCAAGAGAAGAAAGCTGAGCAGCTGAGCGAGGAGGAGCAGGAGAAAGAAGCCCATGAGACGAAGGAACTCAGGCGCGAGGTGAAACAGGAGCAAGGTCACAAGGAGCAGCCGCAGCTGGAACGAGAGGAGAAGAATCAGCCGAATCAGCCGATCAAGCCGATCAAGCCGATGAAGCAAGAGCAGGAACAGGAGGAGGAGCAGCGGATGAAGCCGATGAAGCAGCAGCTGGAACAAGAGGAGGAGCAGATGATCAAGCCGATCAAGCAGCAGCTGGAACAAGAGGAGGAGCAGATGATCAAGCCGATCAAGCAGCAGCTGGAACAAGAGGAGGAGCAGATGATCAAGCCGATCAAGCAGCCTCTGGAACGGGAAGACGATCAAGAGAAGATGAAGCAGCAGGAGAATGACAAGGCCAAGCAGGAGGAGCAGCGACCCAAGCCAATTCTACTGCCAGCCGGGGGTCGTCGTCCAGGTATGGTTCCTTTTGCTTCTCGCATTCTTCTTCTACTGTGACTCACGATGGCCTTCTGGACTTGCAGGTTCCAGGCCGAAGATGGTTCGCTTCTCTTCCTCAGCGGAGGACATTCTTCCCGACGGCACCCGACGGCGGAGTGAAACCCATCTTAGCGATGGCCGAGGGGGCTATGTTGAGTTCGCGTATCTCGAAGCTTTCCACAAGGCAAACCGGTGGCTAAACCAGAGGGGAAAAACCGAGAAGAAGATCCGCAGCTTGGAAGAGGAAAAGCGCGAGGAAACAGAAGAGGAGAAGCACGAGGAAAAGTCTTGGAGTGTTAGCGCGCTCCGGATTCTGATCAGACTCACCGAGCAGCTTTACGAGGAGCTCAACGGCAAATCCAGCGACCGAGAGAGGATCAAGCGAGCGCGGAAGATGATGAGGCTCCAGAAAATGCTGGATAGGATCCCGAGTGAGAGGAAACCGTGGAAGAAGCTTCAGTCCGGCGAGGTGGTCTTCGTGAAGGAGGCAAAAGAACTATATGATCGTGCGGGGAGAGATTTTGTTGCCGAATTCAAGAGGAGACAGGTAAGTTTGATATACCTTCCAGATTCCAGATGGCCGTTTGCTAATAACTTCCGTGTTTGTTGTAGAGAGCTGAAGTGAACGATGAGTGTTTGTTTTGTCGGAACCATGATGGCGAGAAGATGATCGGCCGGGCTGGAGCGAACTCTAAGACGACTAGACCCTGGGTTTACCTGAGAAGAGAACACGAGCAAACTGTTCTAAGCACGTCGAAGAAACGAGAGATGAAGTTGGCTCCGAGCTCGAGAAGTTGGCTGCAAGGATTGGTCAACTGGAGGCCAGTGCTCGGACTCTAGCATCGGAGAAGCCAACTCTCAAGAGTCAAATCCAGAAGTTGGATCTCCAAGCAAGTTGAGCAGCACAGGAGGAGGCCACTAAAGCTATAGACCAGTTAAGTCGAGAGAAGATCGACCTTCTCGAGGACTCGACTCCAAAGATTTGCAACTGTCCAAGACGTGAAAGCAGTGCGTGACAACCGTGTCTCAGGGCTCCAGGCGGAGAAGTCCATCACACTTCAGGCGTCTAAACAGGCCAGCGACCAGCCTCCACACTCTTCTAAGTCAAGAGAAGATCAATGGATCAAGTTTGACTACACTCTACAGTGTCTGGAGCAAGGAGGGATCTATCTTATCAGCTTTCCAGTCGACGGAGATGAGACAGGAGATACTGCTGCGGTATAATGTTCACAGCTTGAAGGAATAGTAGCAAGGGAACGACTGCAACGAGATGGTGATAGCGAGAATATGATATAGCTGAAGCTGCTCGTGACGGTGGGGGTATTCGGATTCACAGAGAGGGCTGCAGAGACTATAAGACAGACTACACTCGACGTTCTCTGTCATCTGGTAGAGCTCTCTAGTTGACGGAGACTTTGAAAACGGGTCAGGGCTGTCCAGGAATGCTCGTACAGCCGCTCGGATGAAAGTATCAGCAAAGAACTCAGTGTCAGATTGCTTCAAGGGAAATCAAATCCAAAAGTTGGAGCGGGAAAACTCGGAGCTGTGGCCAAATATCCAAGCAAGTCGAGCACCACAGTAGCAGGTCACTAAAGCGTCAAGTCTGAGCTAAAGACCAGTCTCCACACTCTAAGTCAAGGGAAGATCAACGACTGGAATTGAAAGTTTCGGAAGATGGTGGCCGAGATGGAGAGTCGAAAGCGGCGGTTGACGAGGCTCCAGGCGGAGCAGTCGGCTGGAAGTGCAGCAGAGTCCATCAAACTTCGGCATCTAAACAGGCTAGCCCGCCTCCACACTCTTCTAAGTCAAGAGAAGATCAATGGATCAAGTTGGGCTACACTCTACAGTGTCTGGAGCAAGGAGGGATCTATCTTATCGGCTTTCCAGTGGACGGAGATGATTCAGGAGCGCCTGCTGCGGTAAGGCTGTCCATGGTAGTAGCGAGGAACGACGTAAACCAGTGTCAGATGGCTGCAAGATGGCGAGAAGACGATATAGCTGAAGCTGCTCGTGACTGGGGTTTCGGATGGCTGCAGAGACTATAAGACAGACTACGCTAGACGTTCTCTGTCATCTGGTGGAATGAGGGAAGTGTTCGGACAGGAGTTCTTGAAGGAGAAGCCCCAGGGGATAATGGCTGACGGAGTCGAATCCGCTGCACGAGGTGTAGCTCTCGGCGAGAGCACGTGATGGCGGAGTTTGGAAGTGCAAAGGCGAGGCTGGAGAAGCAAGTAACTGGCAGCTGATGGAGAGGATCACGGGACTCGAGGCGCTGGAGGAGAGAGAGACGTGCCAGATGCAAAGCAAAGCTTTGGGCGAGGAGCTCTGAAGGATGAAGAAGACAAGCCGAGGAGAACCGATGTGAGAGCAGAGGTTTGACGGATCAGATGGACGCTACATGCGACAAGAAGGAGCATCTGGCTTCGCAGGAAGCTGTGTTTTTGCATGCTTCCGCTCAAGCTTCTCAGCACGATCCAAGGCCTGAAGTGGCGGAAGCATTCCCTAACTGCCAGAGGTTCTAAGCACGTCAAAGAAACGAGAATGGAAGTTCAAGAAGTAACCAGCTCTCGAGAGTCAAATACAGAACAGAGGTGCAAGCCAAGTACTGACAGCTCGAGCAGCGCAGGGAAGCAGTAGCAAGCCTCCAAAGCGCCAGAGACCAGTCTCCACACTTCTAAGTCAAGAGAAGATCAACCTCTTCGAGGAGATATCCTCCCTCGACTCCAAAGTTTCGGAGATATCTTGATCAATCGGGAGATAGCAGATAATTTTGTCAAGATCTGGGCTTCTCAAGCGGAGCTCACTGAGACGGTGCCCGAGATCGGAGCAGTCAGCCAGCCGAGTGGAGAAGAGTCCATCAAACGTTGGTGTGAGAACAGCGAGATGAAGGAGAAGATGAGATGCCAAGACGGATCAAAGACAAAGCTCTCTAGTTGATGGAAACAGGACGAGAGCTTCAATGCTGTCCAGGATCACTCTTACAGGTGCTTGGATGATAGAAGATGATGATGGCAAGATGATCTCAAACTCGAAGAAACTGCTTGTGGCAGTGGAGCCAGAGGTTCGGCTTCACAAAGACTGAAAAACGGCTGATGTTCGCCCCTGACATGCGGAGACTACAAGAGCTGGAGCGAACTCTAAGACGAAGCAACAGTCATAAAGACAGAAGATTGGACGAGTTTCATGGAACGTGGAAGCTGGTGCAAAGCGATTCAGAGGTTCAATGGCCACCTTTACAATCAAGAAATGTGGACTGAGGGTACGTAGAGTCATTCGTTTTTTCCTCTTCCATTCATTTCATCCGTGTTGTTAAACAGAAGAAGCAAGCTGCAGCGACACACAAATTGTGATGGTAGCTCCTTTAGTATCAGCAACAAATCCTATGGTATTTTTTTGCTTTTTAATTTTCTCCTCTGGTGGAATATCTTCTGAGCTCCAACTTGGTCCAGATCGTTGGAGGCCGTCTCTTCGAGACTAAATAAATAAAACATCTCAGAGACTACGCTAAGGAGCTGCTTATTCTGGCCAACTTGTGAGTAAATAACCTTGAGAGATTATGTTTCTTTTCTATTTGGAAAATAGTCTGACTGCCAACTTGGTCCAGATCATAGGAGGCCCAATTAGCATAATTATGCCTAGTTAGCATCATCCTATTATATACATTGGGCATATATTGTAAAATATCATAAATGTGGCTTCAGGTATCAAAAAATACTTGTTAACCAGTACTTTTGGACATTCTCTCTTTTGCCATAAAGGTTGATATAGTTGGACCACTTTATTATTCTTCCCTCTTATGTTAGTGGAGTTAATTGGACATCTTAAGTGTACTTAAACTAAACAAGCATAAGGATTGAATTTTTTATATATTATTAGCTAAATATGTTGTATGTAGCTAATGATAAGAACCTTCATGTGTTGAGTCTAGTTCCTCAATAATGCTTTATGATAGCTTATTGTGTCCACCAAACAGCCTCACTATCATACTTCATATATTAGTTCCATTCAGTCTTTTGTGCTATTTATAGTAAGTGGTTAAATCTGTCTAAAATGCATATCTATGGAATCTAGAGTGTCATGAATCCCATGGTGTTGTTCCTACATCCCAATTCACAATTTAATTCTATTCTATATCTAGTAAATTTTCAAATCCCATAAACTAGTTTTTGAGATTGGGGTGAAAGCCTAAAAGCATGCATTTTTCTAGGGTAAGGGATGAGGGGTTGTGGGGGGTTCTAAATATATAGTAAAGATAGTATTTGGAAGCATTATTGACCATCTAAAATATTAATTTGGCTCATGCTAGGTTGTATTGCTCATGATTTTGTGTTTAGCTTGGGAATAATCTCAAGTTCCATATTGCTCTAATCAGTGGGGTATCCACCTTTTTGTTATAGGCCACCAGTATGCCAGAATTGGGCTAAACACCATCTGATACTATTTTACATGCAAACGTTGGATATGGGGAGTTAGTGTTCGTAAAAGATATTAAGTGTGTACCAAATCTTCATTTTGTTGCACAAAGGGTTTGGAGTTTGATATAAGCTATAAATATTTTTTTTCTAATTTGCCAACTTACCTTTTTTATTCGACCACGTTTGCTTTGGCATTAGTTAAGTTCCCTTGCCAAGGTCCCCACTTATTATACCATCTTTTACTTGGTCCTACTTGGATTTAGCTTCCTCACTACACAAGTAATGAAGTGTTAGCCATGCATCTACAGATTCGTAATATTTCTCTTAATCCCTCTCCTCAGGTGAGTTTGGACTTAAGATTTAATTACAATCCCTATAACCACAACCAGCTAAACACACAAAGCCTCTAGGTTTTTTATATGCCTAGGTATAGCAAAACTTAATCACAAAACCTTCTAAATCCCAAGACTTGGGTGCATTTCTTGTTTCGAGTGTTGCAACACAAATTTATTGTTGCTTATCTTTACGTCACATGTTATAGCCAGAGAAACCACTCTTACTCCCACTTCTACCCTTGCTCCTATTTTTACTTCCACTTTTACTTCTACTCCCGGTCTTACTATTATTGTTGCTCCCACTCTTACTCTCACTCCTACTCTCTAGTTACAGGTATGGGTGTTTTGAGAGATAGGGAGAGGAAATTTTGATTCTCAAAATATTCCAAATAGTAAAATTCCACAAAGGCTATATCAAAGGTCCTCCCTATTTCCTCTGGCAATTAAGTTTGGAATTACGGTTTTGTGAATTTGTATGTGAGGGATGGATCCGTGGTTAGGGCTGAAAGATGACCTAAAACTTAGTGAACTCAACATGAATAAGTTAGTTTAGTTTTCTTGAAAGAATGGAGAGTTTGTTTTAGGAAATTGAGAGAAATCTTGAGTTCTAGGGGTTAGATTTATATTCTTAGAGACCCTAGGACCATTAGGGGTTTCAACTTCCATGAATTTAGAGTGTAAATTTAAAGATTTTTCTCGTTCTTACATTAATTTTCTACATTACTTCTTTCCACTTGGTTTTCTAGTGATTTCTCATTATTAGTATATTGATTCTGGTTTTTCTTTCTTTGGGTCGATGCGACTTGGCATCCTCTTTCCAACAAGCTAAAGAGCACCTTGTTTTGTGGAGGATTTAATTGCTAATTTAATGAAATTTTATCCATCACAGTCCTCTGTTTTTCATAGCAAATCTTTCAACACTCTAAGCTTGTGATTTTGGGACTGATTCAAGAATTTTTTTTTCTGGACATGTAAATCTAAAGACAAGCTTTTTTTAGTGTCCTTTCTTGGTAGCCAATTCGCTTTAAGTTATGACATGGAGTAGTTTTTCTCTTACGGCGCTTCATAGCTCAAATTTGCAAGTTTCTAGCTTAATCTTGAGGGAATTTGAGGCGTCGTTCTCATGGAAATCATTACAGCCATGTTATTACCTTTTACCAATGTTAAAAATGAGTGTTTCTTGTACTAGGGAGTGCATTTTCTTTTGTTTTCTTTCTTATTGTCTAGAATTTAATGTTTGAATCAATTTTTTTTTGAGATTTTAGGCATTTTAACTCATGGTTTTGGTTTCATTCTCTTGGTTTGAGTATAAACTTTTAAACAAGTCCATCCACACCCATTTTTGTATGCAAAGTCAAGAGATTTCCATGCAAATGTTTTCCTCTTAAGCATTTTGAGTATTGGAGTTTAATTGTTTCTATTTTCCCCCTTTTCTTTGCAATATTTTTTTCTTTTGTCATGAGAAATTGGCATTTGCAAGGGTGAGAGTGATTTTATTTGGGAAAATCTACATGAGGATACTCTTTTATTTGGAGTTATCCCATTTAGATACTTTACTCTCACACAAGTCAAAGTTCTTTGTGCGTTGTATTTTCCACAACCTGGCATCTACTGCACAGTGGACATTTTATACTAGTTCACACTTGTTCCAGTTAGAGATGGCAACTAGCAAACTTCCATACAGTGCCTAGGGTATGGGGACATTTTTCACATCTTTTACGAGAGCTTGATTATCAAACTACTCTTTTTGATAAGGAGGATTCATCATTCATTACAGATATCGAGTCAGGGAGTCCACCATCCATGGCTCTTCCTACATAAATCCACATTCTACAGCGAGGCACCGACTTGACATACTTATCTGGCAATGGCGACATCTTTGCCAATACACATGTCACTCATTTTGAGCAATATTGCATGTCAAATGGCATCATCGAGGATGATCACAAGCTTTGTGACTTCTTGCGATCGCTCACTAGCCGAGCAGAAACATGGGTAGAGACACTCTTGGAGGTAGATATGGCTGACAACTCCACATTCAAAGCATCTTTCTAAGGTCACTTTGATCAGCAGTGACCAACAAATCGCTTACTCATGGATTTGTTTGTTTTTTGGCAAGGAGCACGTGAATCTGTGCTAGAATATATGATGTGGTTTAGGTTTTACTAGAAGGAGTGTGTCCTCATCACAAATGAACCTCATGGCATCACTATATTCATCTTTGGCCTCAAGGGAAATCTCAAATGCAAGATGCTTAAGCGAGAGTTTTGGATGTGTTATGAGGCATTTGCTGTAGTAGAGACTTTGGAGTGGGATCTTCTCCAACATCTCAAGATTCCTAGGGTAGAGGAGATTTTCCTCCCACCTTCAGATGAGAGTTCATGTGCTACCATGATCCATTCTTCTCCAGCCCCACACAGTGATGATAGAGTTCCCTTAATGATCGAGAAGGCATTGTCGAAGTATGCAAGATACAAGGAGATTATCTAGTAGCAATAATAAATGCAAGAGAAGCTATTTGAGGAGCTTAAAGCATGCTGCTTACAGTAGGCAGGGAGACTAAGATGCCCTCTTCGTTCTTGGTACTACTCGCATTGTAGTGTTATGATACACAGCATAAATAGATGTTGGAAGCTTCATTTAGAACTTCGACCACCTTTTGTCCAGCATGTTGAAGAGTAACTTCTACCAGACAACATATTTCTTCCATGGCTAGAGATAGATACCAGCAACAATTGGAGTAGAAAGCGATCAAAGACACCCTTTCGTTGAGCTATGGAAACACTGATGCATGTCAACATAGTTTATGTTGTAGAGGACGGTTATAAGATGGCTGCTATGACTCAAGGGCGCAAGAAGGTTTCTCCTTTAGCCCCAAATATTGATGGTGAGCAAGATCCAGCTCTAGTTTCTAGAACTTCCCCATCTCTCATGGCATGTAAGTTACCCCATGCTTCGGTATTTGCAATGCCACCCACATCCTTGGCCACAACTTCAAATCCAACAATTGGATATTCATCCAACTTTCAATGTGGGGTCTCTCAGCTGCCCTCCACTCTTTCTCAAGTCCCATAAGAAGTTCTTGCTTAAATTGTTGACACTTTAATCTTGGTGAGCTTTTGCAATATATATCTGGTTTTACTCCTTAGCTAGAGGCTTTGCCAAGTCCACAGGCATCCCCATGGAACATCAGTATAACATCCACATCATCAACACTCATACCACTTATGATCCCAAAGCATTCTTTGTGGAGGTCCACATCAGCGATAGATCTTTGACAGCACAAGCATTACTTGATTCTAGATCCCAGAGCAACATCATCTCCCTTAACTTGGCACTTTCTAGTGGCTTGGAAGTGGTGAGAAACACAACTATCATCCTCAAAATGTTTGTCAATCACTGAATTGTTCCTACAAGCATCTGTTGGAATGTCAAGATCTTGGTGCAAGGAGTGGTTTGTATGCTAAATTTCCTTGTTGTGGACTTCCAACAGCTAGGATTTAGGAAGCTGAAGGACTTTATTATCTTAGGACGGACTTACATGACAATTTGGGCCAAGGGAGAATCAATGATTACCAACAGTATTTATGTAGCAACTCTTCTCAATACCCATGGTCATTCTTTACTTCCATCTAGCTTGTCTCAAGTGGATGCTTCTTCCATTATTGAAGTTGACTAGGCTCTCAAGGTGTTTTTCCTGAAACTTATCGAGGATGACACGCTGTTGGAGATCCAAATTGTTAACTACAATATGATTGACTTCTTCAACATGGACTGGACTACATCAACACTTTTGAGTACACTTTTGACTTTCCAGCTTAGTGACTACACTCTTGGTGGCACTTCTCACCCCAAACTTGTAGTCCAGCCTTGCTACTCACTTGGGATACGACCATGACATAAAGGTGGCAGGCATTTTCTAGCAGCATCTCGACTTTTCCTTGGAGTTTCTCCCAACTTGGCACCTCATCTCAGCTC